GATAAATACTTAAAATCTATTTTTATTTTTTGTTTTTTTAAATGTGTATTGAGCACTTTTTAATACTACTGTTTTCTGGTCTGATTCAACTCTGACCAGTAAAATTTTATGTATTTTATATCTATCTATTTTTCTAATATATATATATATATATATATATTATATATATATATATATATAACACCCTTGAGCGCTTAGCTTTGGAGCGGATAGAATCGAGATCAACGTGTTTTAGTGGATTCAGCAATTTTCAATCTGCTTGTCTGAATCATCTTCAAGAAGCGAGAGCAAGATCTAAATAGTCAACCAATCTAACAATCCTCACACTTGCTCCATATGTGGCCTCCTTTGTAAATCACTAGCGGGTCTTAAATGCCACTTAAGATTATCGCACAAACTTTCATAACTGAATCAATAAGCTGTCAGATCCTCATACGTCGAAACCGACGGGAGAGTCCATATATATATATATATATATAAATATATCAATATATATGAATTCGTTATATATGACAAAATAAAATGGGATCAGTTTAGAAACCGACAGCCCGACAAGGCATTTGAAATTTGATTATAGTGATGAAATTTTTTCGTGCAGGGCCATCCACACAAATTTGAATTATTGAATACAATATTGCATAAAATGCATACGTGCCATCAAATATCCCCAAACGAACCTCCGCAGTATATTTTTGAATTCAGAGTTGTCCTTCTCCTAAGACCAGTTGCCATATGATTCTGTCCTGCTATTTACCCATAGCTGGAGTTAGAAAAAGAGGATTCACATTTTTTTCCAAGGGAAAAAAGCACGTATTGAATGTAATGGATTAACTTAAATTCGAACATTGGCTCTTCGATTCCTCAATCCAAAATTTAAGATTATGGAAATTCATCCAAATTGTTTCTCTCCTCTCAGGAAATATATATAAATATATATATATATATATATATATATATATATATATATATATATATATATACACACACACACGAACATTTCATAGTGTTTGGATGCTAGTAAAAGGACACTGCAGATGAATCGCAAAGAGTTGGATGAGTCTAATGGTGATGACAAATATACGATCACGCGGAAAATTCACTCTGATAGTTCTGATAAGAAAAGAACTCCCGAATTTATTGGTGAGGACTTCAGACTCAACAAGGAGGTCTACATCAAATTCCTTGAGTAGGTAGTGCTGCTCTGAGTCAAAAGGGTGGCTGCTGGAAGAGCCTATGTCTGGCAACATATGTGCACGATGTCACTATATTTGCATAGATTATTGTATATTTACAAACAAGTAGAAGTACCCAATCATGGATATTAGACATTTCCTGCGACGACATATTATATCTAACCACCTAATTCCAAAGACAGCAACCCTCTTGATTATTATGTGTTATGCGTGGGGCGAAGTTGAACGAAAGACTAACAAAACTCCTTGTAACAACAAAGATGAAATAAAGGCAAGGATTATGACAGCATTCATTAACTTAAACAAAGAGAGTGTCTAGAAGAGTCGCTTGAAGATTTCGAAGTCGTCTCGAAGCACTGGTTGAACCCAGTGACGATTTTATTGAATAAATTTACACTTTAATATTTCAAGAAATTTTTTTGTGTAATTTTCGTAAATTTATCTGTTGAATATTTTTATTTTTGCATAATTTAGACAGTTTATCCATCGCACCCTGCAGACAGAAATGTGATGGAAGGAAATTAAAATAAAGTTGAAGTTGAGAATGTTTTAAAATATTCTTAAAGCTTACTCACTTACAGAGGTAAATTATGGTCGGGGCTAGACGATGTAATTTATTGCCGATGAAACAAAAATGAAAATGATGTTTTTCTTGAATTTTATTTTATTTTATTTTATTATTTTTTTAATTTGTATTTTTTACAATTATTTATTTTTTCTGTATTTTATATTGTCTTGTTTAAGCATTTATATAATGAAAAAATATTTAAATATATAAAGTTCTTCAGCTAGCATTTCTTTTTTTAGACACACATGGTCATTTAAGTTGGAAAAAGTCCGTTTCTTTTAAGAAAGGATATCACTCTCTAATTCTCTTTCATTCTCTCTCTCTCTATATATATATATATATATATATATATATATATATATATAGAGAGAGAGAGAGAGAGGGGTTGATTGATTGATTGATTGAAGGATTGATTATGCATGAACTTTACAATCAGGCATGGATTATTGTTCTGTAAATTTAACCTTCACTGGTAGTACACTCTATTAATATACATTCAAAATAGAAGATCTATAACGCCAATCATCATCCCACGTTTAGAGAACTGAGTAGGTATGTTGATAATAATATTAAACTGTACGTTCTCACGGAACGCAAATATCGAAAATATATAGGAATCAAATCAGTTAAAAATGTATAAAATTATCGTTACAATATCATAAATTCAACAATTTGATCCCATGATCCAATTATATATCTATATATCATTATTTATTTAAAATTATAACCTAAATGTAATAATTTTTAAATAAACAATTATATTCGCTCTACTCTGTATTGAGCACTCTTTTAAGAATAGTATTTGTTGGTTATTGGAATTTATTCCGCATACACCAATAATATACTTATATATATATATATATATATATATATATAATAAATATATATATATATATACATTAGACGTATACTTAGGATTAAAAAGTTATATATAAAAAAAAAATTTTTATTTTAAAAAAATAATTTTTATTTATATAAATATATTTATATATATATATATATATATATATATATATATATATTTCAGATTTCAGATTGCCCTTTATCTTGCATCAGAAATATCTGTTTGTGGCAAATAAATTAAAATTACTGTTTGTTAGCAAGTAGCGTCCGTCTATAAATATTTTAGATGTTGTTTAAAATATATATATATATATATATATATATATATATTAATTCTGTACCTTATGTTCTAATAGTGGATATATTGGTGAATCTGGAAATACTTTTAGATTTCGCTTCATAATCATAAACAAACCATACGTCAAAACAATCCTTATTCCCCCATAGCTAAACGCTTTAATTAATCAGGACACTCATTAGAAAACTGCAAATGTTTATTGATAGATTCTGATTTTAATTCCACATACACGCAGAAAAAAAGAAAAATATTGGAAAAAATTTTAAAACATAAATAGTTAAATAAGTTAAGGGTTAAATAAAACTATTAAATAGGTTTTTAGGTATTTTACATCTTTATAAATATTTCAATAGTTAAGCATTTTTTTAGATATACTTAAAAAAAAATTACATTTTTTTAAAACAACATCTAAAATGTTTTTTACAGTTAGATTTAAGTTAGGAATATCCGAACAGTGACGTTCCATATCACGTGACGTCCGCGTCTCGCGACGGACGCTACTTGCTAACAGACAGTAATTTTAATTTATTTTTAACAAACAGTTATTTCTGATGAAAGATTGAGGGCAATCTGAAATATCAAATATATATATATATATAAATAAATAAATACTTTCATAAAATAAAACTTTATTTTTTTAATTTGCAACTTTTTCTATATATATATATATATATATATATATATATATACAAATGTAATGAGAACGAAAAGAATAAGTTCAAACGTTCATAACATTAACTTAAAGGATGGCTCAATATCAAAAGTAAAGCAATAGTTATTTATTATATGTTGTTACATACGCACAAACATGTATCTCTACAAATATGGCAAGTTTATTTGCATTTATTTCGATGTTTAAATCATTCAATCACCGACAAAATGCATTATTATAATTTAATACAAGTTCCTGTAATTTAGATAGAATAATAAAAAGACAAAATAATAGAAATTTCAAAATCGACCTTCACGAAAATAACAGTAGTAACTTATGCAACTGTAGTACTAAAAGTAGATGCCCATTAAACTGATCTTGTAAAATGGTATCTATAATTTATAAAACAGAAGTAACAATTATTAATGGTCAATTTAAAACATATATAGGCTACACGGAAAGCCAATTCATGTGCAGATGGTACAATCACACATAGTCTTTTAAGTTAACAAAACTTAGATGCTCCACCAAACTTGCCAACCACATCTGGAATTTAAAAGATAAAATAACAGGCATCCGTTTGTAAGATGGAAAATATTATACTAGTTAAAAACATATAGCAATTATACCTGCATCTTCAAACTATGCCAATATTTGAAATTAGCAATTATGACATTCTCGGATCCAAAAAATCTTCTAAACAAAAAATCCTAAATTTTTAGCCCTTGCTGTCGCATAAAAAAAAAATTAAGTGAATATGAAGCCGGTTAAAAAAAAAATCTAATTCAGAAATCCACTGTCACATTTAAAACACGGCAGCCTCCCCACCCTCCATAACAATTAAGTTACATATTTGCTTTCCAACTTTAGTGTATACATCTACAATACACTTGCATTTCCGTTCATTTTCATTTTTTTCAACCTTCCCTTTGCCCTTTCTTTCCATTACACTGAACATCTCCTTGCAATCATCATGAGCCTGTTATTTTTTTTTTTTTTTTGAAAGATAATTATGTAGCATATTTTGTGTTATTTTTAAATAAAGAGTTAAAGTGATAATTTTAAAAGTATGGCCTGAAAATACCGTCAGGTTGAAACCATTCTCGCGTATTTTAATTGACCTCCTGATTTTAAAGTTAAAAACTCTATATGATATTTTTATTTTTACTTATATTTTTTCACGTGAATTGAGCACTTTTTAATGCTACTGTTTCTTGGTCTGATTCGACCGTGACCATTAACCTTTATTTATATATATATATATATATATATATATATATATATATATATATATATATATATATATATTGATAGTTTCTATAAAAATGATTGATAGTGTACTTCCTTTATTTTTTATTTTTGTGGTGTTTTTATAATTTTCTTCTTTCCTAGACACAAATTGTATAATGTAATTGTTTTAATGAAACTTTTATAACAGTGGGATTGCTAAAGATAGATAGATAGGCAGGCAGGCAGGCAGCTAGTGTGATTTGATAGATAGATAGATAGGTGGTTCCTAAGGGAAGATAGCGAGAGAATGAATGAATGAGTGACTGATTTTGTCATGTTTACATGGAAAATAACTATCTTTGGCTGGGTATGCAACTTTCGGAATTTCTGGTATATATATATATATATATATGTATATGTGTGTGTGTGTGTACTTGAGTGAGTGAGTTTCGTGTTTACAGATTGAGGTGTGTGGTATGTTTCTCTTCGTGTCTGCAGTATATGAATTTGTGTGTATGTGTGTATTTATGTGTCACACTGTCTTGTGTGATGTTCTGCTGTCTCTTAATCTGTAAATAACAATAAAGTATATCTCTTCATACGCCGATCTCTACCCAAGTTTATTTGTACGCCTTCGTTTTAATGAAAGACGTAAATCTCAGAGAAGAATAGTCTCTAACACTGCACACGCAAATTTATAGGCAAACAAATAAAACATGTTTTCATACAAAGACGGACTATAAACATCCAGCCTCGAACAAAAGTATATTTTTGTTTGATGCCACTGATCTTTCGCTATGGTAATGCTGGATAATAAGTAAGAAGTATTATTATTATTTGTACCACGGTGGAAACCCAGAAGGTCAAATAAACATTGCTCAACAAAAATGGGACCAACCTGTTTCTATATCAGCTTGATTATACCAGAAATATAAGAAGCAAAGATCAAGACGTAAATTTGAAATTAGGTGAATGAAGGAAAGATGAAATGATAAGGTGAAGCGTGATTAAAAAGAAAATGGACGTACTGGGAAGAAGTATAAAAATGTAAAAAAAAAAAGAAAGAAAGAATAAAGGAAGAAAGAAAGAAACAGAAAAAAGGAAAAAAAGAAGAAAGAATTACAAACCACAATGAACGAAAGAAAATGAATAAAAACAGAAAGATTAAAAGAAAGACAGAGAAAGAATTAAATGAAAAAAAGAAAGAAAGAAAGAAAGAAAAAAATGAAAAAAGCAAAGAAAAAAACAATGAAAAAGAAAGGCTAAAACAAAGTCAGAGAAGGAATTAAATGAATAAAAAGAAAGATACGGAAAAAATAAACAAAATTAAAGGTAAGAAAGAAAATGAATGAAAAAAATAAAAGATAAAAGAAAGTTAGAGAAGGAAATAAATGAATAAAAAGAAAGAAGCAAAGGAAGGAAACAGAAAAATTGAAAAAGTAAAGAAAGATAAAGAATGAAAAAAGAAATGCTAAAACAAAGACGGAGTAACTAATGGAATAGAAAGAAACTAATTAGCAAACAAATAAAAAAAAAAATAATGAAAAAAGAATGAAAAAAGAAAAATACATTAAATAAATAGTAAGAAAAATAAATAAATAAACTGAATAAAGTGAATGAATGAAAGACGAAACCGTAAAAAAAGATTCATTGAAAAATAAAATTGAAGAGCAAAATGAAAAGCAAGAATCAAAATAGCAAAAGATAAGATCAACATAAAAAAAGAAAGAAAGAAAGATAAATAGATAGATAGATAGATAGAACCTAAAAAGAAACATAGAACATAAAAAGCCAAAGAAAGAAAAGAAGCTAACAAAATTAAGGTTGCGAGTGAAAGGAAATAAGGAAAAAGGAAAGAAAGTAAAAAGCTACACAGAAAGGAAAACACGCAGAGTTGTGAAAATGATAATGCGTGATAAAATGTGCGGAAAATGGTTGAAAAGAGAAATGAAAATTCAGACGAATATAGAAATCTTAAAAACAAAAAAAAAAAAGAAAGCAAGAAAAATGAAAGAATTATGAATAGTAAATAATAGAGGAAATGAAAGAAAGGGAAAAAGGTAAAAAATAAGAAAGAAAGAAAGAAAGAAAGAATGGCATGAATTAAAAATTAATTACTTTCGGTCGGAAATGGAAATAAAAAGCCAAAAATAAAAAGAAAAAAAAGCAAATATCAAAGAAAAAGAAAACAATGAATAAATCAATAGAGTGATATACTAAGCGTAGCTTTCCTGTAGAACAAGGCCGAAAGTACGCTATACCCAGCGAGGATCGAACTCGCTTCTAAGACGTAACTAATCTAGCTGGACAAGTCGATGTTTCTTATTTATATAGTTATATAGATCAATGAGCAATTCCCAATTTTAACCCAAGTTAAGCAACTTCGAGCCTGGTCAGTACCTATATGGGTGACCGCTTGGGAATACTATGTGCTGTTAGTTTGGATGTGCAGGTGGAGTAATGAATAATGACTCGGAATTTTTCGTGGGTGAGCCGAGCTTCAACTTCATTTTGTTTCTTTATATTCACTTCCCCGCAAATATCTTTGGGAAAGTTATGAAACCACCTCTTCTTCCCCAGGTATGGGTTAATTAGTAACAATTGCATCAGTAAATCATTATTATCTAAAAAAAAAAATAAAATGAAAATTGCGTACAAAATATTTAGATTTAAATAACACATAGAGGTGTTGATATGTCGTTAATCAAACAAAAAAAAACATCAAAATTCGAGAATGAAAGAAAGATAGAGCGGCGAAAAGTCAAGAAATTTTTAAGAATGAGAAATGGTAACGACGAAGAAACGACTGAAAAGAATTTGGTAATTAAATAATAAAGAAAGCCAAAATAAAAGAAACGAAAGAAAGTACCATAAAGAACGAGAAAAATAAAGGAGGAAAAAATAGAAATTCCCCCAAAAAGATCGATTAAAAAGTAAAGTAAGAATAGACAAGATAATTTAAAGAAAGTAGGACTTCCAAAAATTACGAACAAAACTCATAAAATAATAATAAAATTATTAATAAAAATACAAAATGGGATAAACATTGATAAGAAGAAAAAGAAAAATCTAGAACTTTTAATGAGTCGTTTGCATGTCAGAATCCGAAGACGTTAGACGTGCTGCATTCTTGCATGTGAAAGTTATCCACGCAACTTCTGTTCATCTCCTGCCAAAGAAAATTATTTTGTTGAAGGAGAAAGACATGTACATGTTGTCATATGAAAAATACGCTTATTATAGTTTCGCAAATAGATATGAATTAAAGTCGTTTTCTCAGTCTTTGAAGAGCGAAAGGTTAGTCTTTCCAAAAAGTAAATGAAAGTCAAAATAAATGTTTGTGTAAAGGTCAGGTCTTATGCCTGGCAAACATTTACCTTCGATAGTCAATGTGCCTTGCTCCACGATGAAAAAGGCATTCTCTGTGTGATTTTAATGTTTGTATATATCATTTCAACTTATTGTTGACGTACAATGACAATCAAATATCTATGCAAAACATTCGTTTTGATTGATTGCTCTGATTTTATGGGTTATCAACCTATTTGAGGTTATTTAAAGATTAAGCATACTGTTGTATTGTAAGAATTTTTTGGCGATAATAATGATTTTCTTATACAAGTCGTTCTAATTAAACCATAGCTGGGGAGAGAAGAGGTGGATTCAAAACTTTCCCAAGTGGATTTGTAATCAAGCGAATATAACGAACTCGACTGGATTTCGAATCGTTGTTTTCTCATTATGTGTTTTTATCTATTACGTCACACGTTCCTCCAAGTGACTAGTATTCCCTAGGAGTCACCCATCTAGCTACTGACTAAGTCCAATATTGCTGAACTTCTGTGATCGGAAGAGAACCGGTGTTTCAACGCTATATCAAAGCATTGATAATGGTATTTGAGAAATCAGCTGTTTCCATTCACACACACACACACACACACACACACACACAAAAAAAACTTTTGGCATTCATTGACAGAACAAATAACGTTCGTTACGGTTTAAATTTACAAAATAATTTTTATTAGACTTTTCTTTCCACTAACAACTATAGATCTTTCGAATATTGTTATCAATTTCCTTCCTATGCCAAAAGCCGACATCTTCATATAGTATTCTCCATTTTACATAAATGTTCTCTCCACTATAGCTGTTACTAATGATATACAGCTTCAACTTATGCCGTTTTTTGTTGTTTGGTTAAAATCTTTGTAATTGTATAGCACCAGCCGATAGGATCTGATGATATTTTCTACTTTAACACCAGGAGCAGTCGTTTTACATTACTTATCTGAGACAACAGTTTTAGCTGATAGCTGATTGTTTCGAGATTTCTAAACTACTTGGATGACATTTATGGCATCCATATGATTAGTAGCATGACAAGATTGGTAGCTAGATTTAATTTGTAACTGTTGGAGCAGGCAAATAGAACTATAAGTTATATATGCTAACATATTCTTCTCTCTAACTTCTCGCTTGTGAAACTGTCTTATTCCGTCTGCTTGCTTTCCTGTAAACTATAATCTTCGAAAATGTATATGCAACGTCTCTCCTAATTTTTTTAATCTTTTTAATCCCTCTTCTTTTATTGTCCTTCCTGCTCATTTTTTTCCCAGTTTGTTTCACATTTAGTAATCCGGTAAATCAGAGTAACTTTATCGCCTTGGTTAGGATGGATTGATTAAAAATAGACAAATTGGCAGAGTTTTCTGTTTATATTTGCGGTGTTGGGAAAAACTACACTAGGTACAAATTATTCTTTAGTCAGTTTTCATATTACGAATATATTATAACTTAATTAACTATAGAAATTACCTCGTGAATATTAATTAAACACATTCTCTAGAGCTTTTAGACTGATTTGGATTCATTAAATAAAACAGATTTTTTTCATACTAACAAAAGCCATCAGGATTCAGCATGCTTATATTTCCATAACGAACATTCAATAATCTTTTTCTTTTTATGTGCTATGTCCTTTCAGGACGTAGGCGATCATGGCTCTCCACCTCCCTCTATCCCTTGCAGCTCTCAACAAGTTCCTTCCCTCTCTCCCCCAGACCATTTTCTCTCATCCACTTGCTTAAGTCCGCCAGGTATGTCACGCGTTCTTTTCCCTTGTCTCTTTCTCCTCTATTCGACACGTGAGTATCAGTTTCTCCAGGCCCCCCTTCCTCACTATGTGTCCCAGAAACTTCAGCAGCCTCTTACAGATATTAGGTATAAGTCTCCACCTTGTTTGCAACCTCTCTAAAACCTGATCGTTGCTCACACGCTCGGAAAAAAAAAAAAACATAACCGGAGTTGAATATTATTTTCATTTTTTAATGACACAACCTACTGAAACGATTTTAGTGTGTTTGGGTGTCAATCTAAGGCCAGTGCAGAGGATTCAGAAAGATTTGATGAGTCTAATGGTGATTACGAAGGTGTTTGGCGTGATCACTTGTGATGGCGACGTTATGTCTCCATTCATCTTCGCACAGAGGCTTACATCACATTTATACTAATCTGATGGAGGAATTTCTTCTGCCTCTTATCATATGTACCGTTAACCTTCAAGACGTAAACGATCATAGCTCTCCACAGCTTCCTGTTTTTGCTACTCTGAGTAAGGTTTATCTTTTTGCCTTTTCATTGTTGGCCATTCATTTATACAACCTGGTTGTTTTGATTATTCACTGTCACGCTTACATTCAATATGCCTTGTGTGTGTCAGATTCTTCTACCCATCTTTTCACATTATGCACTCTAAATATATCCATTGTCTTTTCCTGATTCTAAGTATGTGTCCTTTTTTACTACTTTCATTAAAACTTCGTTGTTGCTGATATTTTCATTCCATGACTTTCTCAGCATATTTTTGTAGAACCATATTTTCCTTGCCTCAAGTCTTTTCTTCATCCGTGATTGTAAAGTACTTACTGCCATATAGGAGTACTGATATTGCATACACTTTAGCACTCTTTTCGTTATATCTAACGAAATCTCCCTGTCTCTTAATACTTTATTTCGTTTTTTGAAGGCATCTTTTGCTGTTTCAAATTGCCCTCAGACTGCGGCGAACAACTTTCTTTAAAATTAGGTTTTCTGGGAAAGATTTTGTCAGTATTATACATTGATACTTTCTAAGAATTGTTTGCGTAACTTTACAAATTATTCCAACGCTCCAGCCATTGGGCTCTATAGCTTCCTTTATGATTGATTTTTTCAGACAAGTTGTTTTTTACTAATATGCAGTGTTCCTTTCGATTCTCTTTCCTTGTATCGATCACAATGTATCCGCCTGTAAGAAAGCTGAGACTGTTGTTTATATAATAAAACAAGATTTTTCGGAAAATATCTCTTCGTCTCCATTTCTCTATGACACCTGATCTGTAACGTTGTGACAAGATTCGTCTGGATTTTGCCATTATTGAAATATTGTAACTTTCAAATGTACTCCTATCAAACAATCACCATAATGAGGCATACAGCAAAATTTATCATCTGAATTCTGATGAATAGACAGTGCTGTAGATTTAGACCAGCAAGAGAACAAGATCGGTGCTGTTTCGTTAAAGACACTCGATGAAGGAATACGGTATTTATACTTAGAGAGATATCAGATAAAGCAATACAGTTGCTAAAGGATGTATACCTATGTTTTACAGACTATGTAAAAGGGTTTGATTAATTACGTCACAAGAACTTTTGAAACTGCTACGCAAAATTAACATATTAGAGAATAAGATCAGAACAACCCCGAACCTATACTAGCAAGAAAAGATTGTTTACCAATAGAAAATGTATTCAGTAAGTATACTAAGCTAGAAAAGGATGAAAGACAAAGACATATCTACTCACCGGACTTATCCACTGTATATAGTGAGGCGAATTAGAAGTCACATATGGATTCATTATTGGCGTCTTTAATATTATCAACTTAAGCTATATAGATGACACATTGTTAAAATAAGGAACGGTTGTTGGACATGTTTCCTCACAAATATTTTTTTTTATTATCCGTGAGTATGTATGGAATAGAGAGGAGTGGGTTGCCGTTTTTTTTTCTTCTTTTAAACAGATTTCCATCCAGTGTTAGAGAGCGAACTCTAACCTGCTATTTAACCCATCGGTTGTGGGAAGAAGAGACATCTCTTCCTCATGACAACTACTGCTTGTAAACGATAAATATCTTCGGTACAAAATCTGATAAGGAGGAATGTATCTGAAGAACATCCTTTAAATTTCGGCTGCTGGTGGGTATTGTTTAAATTGTTTTTAGGATACAAAACTTGAAATCTGGCCTCTTCAAAAGTTAATTGAATATTGGGATTTGAAGTTACCACCGCCATCTAAATTTATTTGTTTTATATACTCTTTACCATTGGATCATGCGTAACATATGACAAAATTCATCCCTGCCTCGCCAACCATTTTCTCAAGCTCGCATGAAACGTAGCATGTTAATTTCTTCTGGCCTTTTTAAATTCAGACTGTCCGTGAGTATCGGACATTACAAACCTTCTTTCCTCATTATATGCCAAAGAAACCTCAACTGTCTCTTCCTGATGTTAATTATAAGTCTCCATATTGTTACCATTGTCTCTAGATCTTCGTCGTTACCCACGTATTCAGTGAATGTTTTTCTCAGCATCCTTCTGTAGAAAAAATTTCTCTTACTTCAAGTCTCTTCAGCTGTGATAGATTGCCCAGTATTCATTGCCATAGAAAAGTAGGGATTTAGCATATTGTTGTTTCACTGTTAAAATCAGTGACAGTGACTGTCTTGGGTATGAAGACATACTACATCCGGAAGCAATGCCTCTGATCGGGTGGTTTTGAGATATCGTGGACCCACCTCTTCATTACTGTTCCCTGATCGACCCTGAGCGAGTGGTAGGATCTGTTAGGATCCCAGCTATGGGAAAATAGTTAACCCCAAAACTAGCGTCAAATACTATGAAAGTAAAAAAAAAAGATATTTTTTATAGTAAAAGTACTAGCAATAAAAGTACTAGCAATACATTAAAAAATATTACCAACAATACATTTGGCTTTCGGAAAGAAAACCCTATTTACAAAAAGACGAAAAATGAAACCTGATCTAAAAACTGATTTCTTACAAAGAATACATATTCTATTCATACGATCCTATCCTAAAAATCAAGTCTGCATTAAATATTCCATTGAATTGTTGATATGCCGTAAAACAAAATAAACCATGCTAAATTAACTGACAGTGACGCAGTGAAAATGACTCTTTGTTTTTATTCTATTCTCAAGAAAGAATAGAAATAAAAATCAGGTATCCATTTCTAAAATTGCTTTATGGTTCAAATTTTATATCTTCTTGGTTTTGCAAGCTATGGATTAATTCATGTCGGAAAAAATTTCGTCTTCATTTACAGACAAACATCTTCATGTGTATTCGTCTTAACACATTTGCGCTTATGACTTCTTCGAAAGCCGTTAAATATATGTTGCATTAAGTGTTACTTCGATGTCGCCATGCATTTCATTCCAATTTATCCTTTGGCTCAGCTGTTAATTTCCCTATATTCAACAGATTCGCAGTCAAATTCACTCAACCAAACAACCTCCAAAATTAGTACCAAAGAGAAGTGACATGCTATAGCAGTTCAACCATCTGTTCTTTATATCTAAAGAAAACTTACCTATCTCGTAAATTTACTTAAATTTTAGTTTATGGAAGTTATCTACCACCAATCAAATAAGACCTCAGATCTCCCTGTCACATTTACATTCATCTGATATTACATCACACATCTCCTGTTAGATTATTATCGTTTACAAAATATGGTGTTCGCCATTGTAATCAAAACCTTTGAAGTTTGTTCATTTTATGATGATGATGTCTTTTAGA